AAAATAAAATATATCATGAACTAGAATCGCCGATTGAAGAAATATATTAAAGAAATTTAATGAATTAGAATAATCAATATCGTTCTATGAGGAGACGTATTTAAGATATAAGATGATTTGGCATTGCTAAATAAGAAAAAATATTTATAATATTAATAAAGGATATCATTAGATAGAATAACGTGTTTGAGATATATAATGAATCATAATTATTGAATAAAGGAATATATCTTATAGAAATAAGGAGACGTTCTATTTAAGATATATATATTATATTAGAATCATCATATAAGGACGCTTATCTGAAATACATAATGAATTATAAAAAGAGAGGCATATTCATAATCCAAAATATATTGAAATCATTTAGCAAGAAGATTTATAAAGAGATTATAATAAAAAATAAATTATTATCGAATATTCTAGCATGCTCCTTGCATAATCTAGTAGGGAAGAGCGGAGAAGGCTCGAAATCATTTTAATTTCAATTAAATGACTAGATATTATTAAAGAATTTTCTAAATCATAAAAGATCAGTATTTTATTTTAAGATATATATATATAATTCTGCTTCAATTTTTTTTTCTTGTAAATTTTGACTAAGAATTAAGCAGATAAAAAACTTCTAAAAATTTTCGAATATTATATAAAGAAAATCACGAATATATGTTAAAGATCCTAAAATTTTTCTATATTTTCAAAATTATAGGAAAATCTATGATCGAGAATCTATGATTTTCATACGAATAATATTTTATATCGAGACAGGAGAATTCTATATATTAATATTTTCGAATTTTCAATATCGTGAGACCAAACAAATACGCAATTTTCAAGAAAATATATTATAATATTCAATTTATACTAAAGAAATTTTAAATCATAAGAAAAATATTTTTCAAATAATTATATATAATTAATCATATTTCTATATAAATCCTATATAATTCCATATATTTAATAAAGAAAAATTCAATAATATTATGAATATCAATAAAAAAAAATTTTCTAATATTTTGTGAATAAAATTCATCACATAATTTATGAAAGTTAGTTTATAATTACCAAGAATATTCCGACGGATTGGATACAAATCCTCACGTCACACGGGGTTGGCTGCTAGACGGTAGAGTTCGGCCAATGTCTTTCATTCTTCAGGCAGCGCTTCGGGGTTTGGGGGACCTAGGTCCAAAACTGTTCTCAGGCAACCTACTTACCAGGCTCAGGCTCGGATCAGTGTTGCTGAAGTCTTTAACTGTGCAAGGCCAAATGCTAGACTCTTTCAGTCAAGGCCGGAGCCACCGACCCGCAGACTGCAAAGGGACAGTTTTGTCCCACGCATCTATAGGTGGAGAGGACACATATCCCGAAACGGTGCTACATCTGCGACTATCGGAATCTCTAGACATTGAGCTGAGATCTGGATACTGTACAAGCTCACGGCTGCCGTGGCAAAGAGCTGGCCTCTGTGTAAGCTTCGCAGCAGTTGCCAGGTTCTAGAGCGATACCATGCATTGATTGCTGAAGCGCTGAGGGCAGGCTTGGAAAGGTATTGCGCTGCGTGCAAAGACAATGGAGAGACATCTATACCGCAGACATCCCACGAGAAAGCGGCTCAGGAAGATGTACGTGCTCCAGAGATTTTGTGGACTTATTGCAGAAAGCGTACCTTACCCCGCACCGCCAAAGTCGGTCGAGGAAATCCAGCCGACCGGCCAGCAATACTGAAGACAACTTCGATTTCCTGTAGGTACCGTATTTGTACTAAAGAGTAATGACAGCAGCGGTCACAACCCCACCACTCCACCACTCTCGGACAGGTTCTGTCGATGACCTCACCCCCTGGCTGGTGCACAGCCAAGTTTAGGCTTCAAAGGCTTCTGCGACTGAGTTTCCCACTTCCGCTGACAAAGCCCTGCCGGAATCGTGGTAGATGGCCTCGCATTCGAGGGGCCCTGTTGCTCACTGAAGCATGGGCAAGGCATGCTGTTAGTCCAAGGGCCTGCGCTACGGCACATGGGATCTACCACCAGCGAGTTGCCGCACTGAGGAGGCTCTTACAAGCGTGCTAGCACTCTTTTCTTTGTGGCCCGTGTCGTTCTCCAGGGCGTTTTTGATTGCAGCATCGTGCTAGCCCTGAATCAGAAAGGAATTGGAACTTCGACTTGCGGCCCTGAGTTGTGTTGCCTCAGTCAGATCCAGTAACGCACAAAGCTCGTTCCAGCCTTTGCAAGTTCTTAACCACCCGCTCCTGTGCGCGAAGTTTGGTTTGGGAGCCGTGTTCTAAACGCATCGAGGATGTAGACTTAGAGCCCAAACGCAAGCCCCACAGAACCTCCAGCCATCCTAAAACGACCGATCGGTCTTGACACCTTAACCTAAACCTACACGGAACGATGCACCATATCATACAACTACAAAATACGACAACACGCTCACAACTGCGCTGGGACCTCGCTTCCTGACTGAGGTGCGATCCGAGGAATGAAGCATCCTGCACCCGCCTCTTGGATCTCCAATGCGATTATCTAAGCCCTTCACCTTTCAATCACCCCCTCTTCCTCAGTCAGGAAGAAAGTATCTTCCGGATCTTACCATGATGTTGCGATGTTCCGCTGCTGGTAGGTACTGTAGGGTATTAGAGTATTACCAGGGTGTTAGGGTTTAGGGTACTCGGGCAATGTATGAACATCAATGCTACTGGTCGAGGCCTCGCAGATGGGGGTTAGCTCAATGCTGCGGCGGAAGGGATCCTGGCTCCGGGACCGTGGGAAGAAATGTCTCAGAGGTGCTGACACAGATTTCCAGTGCTTCAGAACGGAGGATGGATGTAGGGGCTCAGAGAAACCGCTTCAGGTCTATGCTCGAGGACTTTCGCTGAGGGGAGCCCCCATAGCTTCAACTGTCCCGCAAAAACCATCATGGAGATTCAAGCCAGGACTTGACAAAGCCATCCAGCCGGATGGTTCTTGGATACTTGTTCAACCCAGGCTCAACAAACTTGTAAGCTTCGATGCCCGAAGAAGCCAGCGCCTCGATGAGGTTCCCAATTTCCAGGATACCAAAAAGCGCCCACGTCACGAAGGCCACCTGAGCCCGGGAGTTGCTGAAGGTATACCCGTCTCCCACATTCTCCCCTCCTAGAGCCCAGGAAGCACTTGTTTTGATAAATCTCGACTCGAGACTCGAGACCCTAAACGATAAGCTTTGACCTCAGCCTGCGACACACGGTCCCGTGAGCCACCGGTAGCTGCTGACCAGAGCGAAGGGCAAAGTTAACCTTGGTTTCGGCGCAGAAAATTTCAAGCCTCGGTGTTGGGGCAACGCCAGCGCTGAGCCGAGGGCGTCCAAACGGAAACGAAGCGTGCAGTATGGCGCCTGGGAGGGCTATCGCGCAGCACCGTGGTTTATGACAGCTCAACCTGAGCTGATAGCTCAGGCCCAAGTCCCACGCGCATAGGAGAGTGGAACAGGAGTCTGGACTAGCCGCTCGCACCTCAGACTGCACAGTCTTTCTTGCCTGGCGCATGGAACCCCAATCCGAGCCTTATCCTGTCTCCGAACTAGCCATAGTGATACGCATGTATCCGGCTTTTTTGCCGGCAGTGTCGAGGCTCGTGCCGGCCAACCGTGTGGGACAGCGCTGTGACCATTGACCTTGGTGAAGGGTTGGGTAAATCGGTTCATTCGCACGTCAGTGGGAGAATAAGGTTCAGTCCAGAGTTTGAAATTGCGCTTCTGAAGACAGATCATGCCACGTCAGCTGTCGAGTCTAAGATCGGTCTTCTTTCGCGGCCAATGCGCTCCGAGGCAAAGGCAGCAACCACACCCGCTCGCGGTTCGTGAAAGTTCCCTGCGTTTGCGCATTCTGCGAGGGGCTTGGGCCAAGCTCGGATGCCGAAGCCGACGCTTCTTTCGAGCAGCAAACCGCAGTGTCGATAATGCCGAATTGGCCTCGCAGTCGGGGATGGAGTTCACGACCTAAGTGTGCGCTAGGAAACCTGTGCAACGGACTTCATGTCTACTCCTGTCAATTCCAAAGCTTCTCCCAACTTGAGCCCAGCTGAGGCAAAGGCATTGAGAAGTCGCGAGATGATGTGTAAAGGGCGGTTCCTTGCGAGCAGCTCCTAGATATGTCTGGGCTTTCCAGTGCTTTACATGTGTGGAATGTGTGCACGCAGCTCGCAACGCTAAGAGGCTACATTTGTTGCCAGCGGCGTGTGCTGCATCCGCGTCCTGGAGGAAATCTAGCAAGTGCACGGTTGCCAAGATGGTACAGTGTGCCATGAATTTGAAGCAAGTATTTTTGCAAGATTGCCAAGCAATCTTGCCATCTTGCCCCACTTGCCCCGAGTTGAGATGGGGGGAGCCAGATTGCGAGCAATCTTGCAATCTTGGTCCAACAAGTAAACTAGTCGGCGAGCAAGCGGGGCCAGATGAACAATGCAAGATGGACCAAGATTGTAAGATTGCTGGCCATCTTGCTTTTGGACCCAAACTGACCAAGATTTGTTCGAAAAATACATGCTCTGAATCGATTGTCACCAGTGCTGCTGCAACTTCAACTGTGACTATGGGCTCCAGATGTTGCAGCAGCGTTTGCTATCGGATCATCATGAGTATTGACATCGTCATTTAGCACCACCGTCGTCATCACCAACAGCATCGATTGCATCCTCACAGTTGCTTCGTCGCCACCACTATCGTCGTCGTCGTCGTGATCATAAGCATTGCCACATCCAGCAATATTTCCTTGATCGCTTGGGATCTGCTCAACTCCTCAGCCCTGGACGGTGGTCTCGGCCCACGCGGTGCTGTGGGTCCCGAGCCTCGAGCTTCAGCTGCGCCGGCTTTCAATGCACAGCCCGAGAAGGCGGACACAAAGCAGGTATACCGAAACTTGATCCTTCTTGACGGTTTCGGATTTCCGCTTTCGGGACCGTGTGTGTAGGCCCCGATATCGCAACGGCAACAACCCGATCCCGATCCTTTCACACCTCAAGGTTGCGGCCTTTGAACCCCTAGCGCAGGCTGAATCTTGGCAGCCTCACACCCCCACAGACTCTAGGCCTCCAATATCCCGCAGCAGCTCAGGAAACTCTGTGCCTACCCTCACTACTATCCACTCAAAAGTTGACTTCGACCTCCTCTTCCTCCTGCGGCTATACTGCTACCGCGACTGCTACTACTACTACTACTACGACGACGACAACTACTACTACTGCTGCTCCGACTCTGGCTTTCTGCTTGCCTTGGCTGAGCTGCCAACCGGAACTCTTCGAACGGCCGCTCAGCTCTAAGCGCGCCTGGTGCATCTCCTGATGCCACTCGCGGGCCATTGTGCTATTAAAGCCCCACGGATGGTTGTCAGTACAAGTGCTACGCGGGGATTTGGTGTTCCCTCTGTTGCAGTGGCGGCAGTAGACACTTGTGGGAAAAGTTATTGACGTCGGGGCGGTGGTCGCTCTGTGTCATGGTGCTTCTGGTGTTATTGTTGAACTTGCCGGCTCCCTGAACCCTGCAAACTGAGATTGTCCTCCAGCAGCCAGTTGAGCCTCTGCTTGATGTTGTTGGACTCCTCCGGAATGGCTTGGGCTGGAAAGTCCTTGTGCCCTCCTTGTGTGGCGAGTCGAAATTTTAACATCCTGAAAAGGGTATATCACAAAGGACAGCAACGACATCACCGGCTCAGAGATTGGCACTGTGCACTCAGAATTGATCTCATTCCTGGGCTTGGACCTAATAAGAGCAAGCCTTAACCCCAACTCTACAGCCCAATCAAGGCAAAGAAACAAAACTGAGATACATAACATGTATATATATATATATATGTACACATCCCTCAAACTGCGCGAATGGTCGACATAATTGCGCGAATTGCTTCCAGATGGCTACTGAGTGTGGTCCTTGGCCCGGACGTGCTCTTGCATCGCAAAGGGGAAGGCTTGGATCTGGGAATTGGGGCGACTCGAGTGCGGCTGCGACCGACCGCCTACCACTCAGAACCCGGAAGTGTCGAGCTCAAGAAACTCTGAGATGTCGGCAGAGGTTCGAATGATCCGAATGCGCTTCGGTCCTGCCTGCAAGGTACTTGGGGGCTGGATTAATGAGTCGAGTGCTGATTCTCCAAGGCCATGGGTTTGTATAGACAGACATCAATGAGGCCCTGCAAGGGGGGTCCTGGCAATTGAACTGGCAAAAAATGTTTGGCAAGGAGTCTCTCTGTTACTCGTGGTACTCAGACTTTCTGCTAAATGCTGCAGTTTCCGATGCAACCACAACTCAAGTAGCATTCCGTAGAGCAACTCTTCTGTGCAGTATTGGCGGACATGGTCACAGTAGCCACCTGTTCATGGCCAGGTGGCATTCCGCAAGGCAATTCTATAGACATGGTCATACTAGTCACCAGTTCATGGCCCGATGACGTCTTGTTGGTAGCGAGAGGGCACACTAGGCCCTGCGATTCTGATGGACCCTGCATGGCGCACACCAGCCTGAGGCCCTCGCCACTGGGATCTAGACGCCTCCTGAGCCCTAGAGGCCGTAGCCAAGAGCCATCCCGACCCAGGCGCCTCCTTTCGGAAGAGGCCCACGCTCAGAGCCAAGTCCCGGGCTGGCAGACAAGATTTCGATTCAGTTCGGGTTTGAAGTTCTTTGGGTCTTCGAGGCTTACCCCGGTTAGCCTGACAGAGCTCGACTTCGCTTGATGCTACATCACTTGCTCTTTCGGATAGACGAACCAACTGCACCGAAGTAAGCCTTGGGGCTATAAATACGGCAGCCAAGACCATGGAAGCATCTCTGTTCTAAGCTGAACATTCGCGACCATTAAACCTGGGCAAGCTGTCGCTTTTGTGTTTTCCTGGCCCATGGAGTCTTGCAAAAATCTCGAATTCACTCGGTGTGGCTTCCCAAGTACGTGTTTTGGCCCGCTCGTCTGTTGTGATGTTTGGTTTACTGCCTTCTCTCGATTCCCCAAAAGCAGAATTCAGAATCTGTCTTCTCGAAGGTGCTGAGTTCGCACATCTGGCGATGGCACAACACCTCCTTGGAACAAAAACCCAACAGCTTAGTCATGCTTAGTCCGCAGGGTGCCAATCAAAAACCTCGACTTGAGAAGTGCAAGGTCATGTCTGGCCATGGACATGCGTTTATGCGGCTAAACGTGCCGTGCAAGTGAAAGTGAAAACGGTGAGCACCATGCCAAGGGACTGAGATCCAGTATATCGTTCCAGATCTTGCGGCCTTCCTTCGGCAACAACATTGTCAAAACAGGAAGTCCGATGTCAATTCGGCAATCAGTTGCGCCGCGCCAAAACAGGCTTGCCTGGAAACGCTGGTAGGCAGAGTTCGTTCTGAACACCAGAAGGAGGCTCAGACCTGCTACAACCCCGTCGAAACGACAGCTTGAGTGAATCGTCTCCAGATCAGGGCAGCCCTGCAACTCTATTCCTGAGGAGCATGCCAGAACCAAGGAGGGTGTGCACCTGCAGAGTTTACAGGTGCCTCTTAGGAAGGTTGAATGCCCTGGATTCACGGAAACTCAGAGTCTTTGCATCTACATTGCATGCGCAGGGCCTAAAAAGGTTGACAATTTTACGGTCGGGGGTCTGTTTGGTGCGGAGGCCCAAACAGACTAGTCTTGATTCGGGCCATCCGCAGTTGAAACCAACCGTCCAACTTCATATGTCATGACTGCATGAAACCTTATGCAGCAATATCCCGACTCAACACCCTAGGCCATAACCCACTTCGCCAAAAGTTTGTGGTCACATAGATTCGGACTTGGCTGTTTCTTTCGATACCCGATCAAAGATCTCGCAAAACCTTTACATTTATGCTCGAAACACATGCTAGTTACTGCTAGTTGCTCGTTGAGCTCTGGGTATATGCCCCCATCGTATGACAATGGACGATGAACATGCTGATGTACGAGCTGTGTCTGTGGCTGCCAGTGCATGTTGATAATGGATGCCAGCTTGCAGCGCGCCTGCATCGTGGGGAGTCCCGGCATGCCGCAACAGCAATGCAATGCACTGATGACCGTGGCGACGACCTCCGCAGCCATGATCAACAAAAGAAAATCAAGCGACCAAGTCTGCATAACGTTGGTCAGGCGTGTCGGTACTTTCACGCCTGAAATGGAAAGCCAGGACAAATCCTCAAACCTTTTGGTGCTCTAGGCAGAAACCGCCACATGGTGATTGCTGTATGCTGTATCTCCAAAGGAAATCTATTACCCCTACTGGAAAGCCCTTTAGGCCCGGCATCTGCGATGATGCGACAAAACGCAACATGCAAAACTCAACTTCGGATGCGCCTCGAGGGCAAACTAAGTTTAATATATATGTGCATGCTGATGGCTTCGTGACTATATCGAGGCTTCATCTAAACTCGAACCGCGTCAGCTTTTTCAGCTACGGATGTTACGCTGGGGAAGTCTGGGTCTCAGGTCCTGACCGTCATCCACAGAAGGGGCCCAGAAATGCGGTCCAACACTCGAGATTTCGGGATGAGCAGGAGGGTCCCGAACCTTGGTCGTCCGGATTGCCACATTTGCAACACAAAAGTAACAGGCCCCTTCTGCCAAAGTGAAACGTACGGATTGTCGAGCAAGCTTCCAGCATCTTCCAGCATCTTCCAGCATACAAATTCTGAGAAACGCTTTTTAACGAATGCACAATGATTGAAGGATGTGGCGTATAGCATTGCTTGCACTATACATCAGCTTTCGGAGGGCTTTCGGGCAGCGTGAGGTGGGCCCTGCTACTGTATCGATTTCCGCGTCATCGAGGCAGGGGCCAGTCTGCAGATGTGACACGTTCAGGCGAACGCAAATACCTCAAACTTGAGCCGCAAGTGCCATCACTGTAAGTGCGTCATGCTGCAATAACAGAAGCTGTATCATTCCCCTTTCGTGAGTGATGTTACTTCACATCTCTTCCTCTTGGAGTTGTGAACTCCGTTATGAGATTCCATCTCGATACTTGTAGTGCGCCTGTTCGGAAATTCAACCTCAACCATGCGGTGGGTGCTGAAGCGGCGACTGAGGTGGCCGCTGCAGATATTCGATTGGAAGTGTTTGCAGCTTTGCTGATTCCGCAGAATCTTCCACCGTCTGTCGGGTTGGCCTGAAAAGCATGGCAGCACGGTCTAACGTCTTACAAGCAGTTCAACTCATGCTTGCGCGCGTAACCGTGCTATTCTGTGCCATGCTGAGTTAAGAGCTTTTCGTCGGCGGACGATTTCAAACCAGCAGGACTAGGCGGAGACTCGGCCTCGAACGCAAGTTTTGCACAAGCACTCTTGGTATCTGCTTTTCCGCTGCATCATCACATGTCATGGCAAAGTGGGTCGGGCAAATTTAAGATGCAGACTCCAGAAGCCGCAGACAGCACGGCCTGCAGGGGTGCTCCTGACCTGACCCGGCTACCTCGAAACTTGGCTTGGTTTTTGCGAGAACTGCGGCCGACGACACTGTCTGTACGGTGACCGTAAGGTCTCCAGTGGTAAACACATAATGTGTCACTGGCATGCGTGAAAATGTATAACAGGTGCACGCGTAGGAGCATGCACGTGAGTGAAACGTTCGATATGACAGCTTGAAAGCAGCCAGGCTTCGAAAACCCACTTCAGGCCCGAAGCACCGATGTTGGGCCCAGGTGCAAGCAACCGTCGCTTGCGCGAGCGACACTCAAATTCATCGCGTGTTCTGGTGTCGCCATCGGGCAAACGCTAGGCTTAGGACGTCGGACGGCAGGCAACCATTGGAAAATATTAGATATTTTCTGATTTTAAAAGCAATGCAAAATCACGTGCAAAAAACCCGGGTCCAGGAAAGCTGATTTCAAGCGTCCTGAAAAGTGTTTAACACGTGATTTGGGAAACGGAAAAAAGTGAAAGTTGCCCGGGCGAAAAGTGAAATCAAAGGGGTGCGCGCAGACGTCCATCTCAAGCACGGATTCAATGGAGTCACTGTCTCTACAGCAAGCCCGAGTCCCTAGTCAATCCTTTCAAGGTATGCTTTCGAGGTATGCAAATCCTGGGAGATCCAATATGCAACTCCCTAATCAAATCTGAAACCACTTTGGTAAGCTTTCAATGTGGAAGGCACAAATTGCTATGACATCGCCCGAAAAAAGCCATTTCCAAGTGATCTGGGGCCTGAAATGCGATTTCCAAGTGATCTTGGACCCGCCACGTGACTTGAAGCTTGCAAAAGAAGCGATTTCAACAGTGATTGGGGTGGCACACACTACTTGTCCAGAGGTTTATCTCTTCCCAAGGGCTCCCGAGAGCCACTATAGTCAGTAGGGTCACTGAAGCAAGCCTTAATGAACCCTTGAAAGGTATGTAAATCCTAGGAGATCCAATGCGCACCCCCAAAGTCAGTTTGAACATACTTTCTGCGGATTTAAATTCAAATTCAATTTGAAATCGCTTTTGCGGCCTGCAACTCACTTTTCAAAACCACTTTTCCCCAATGCATGGAAATCACGTTGCAGTCGTTTTCGAATCACTTCTGCGAGTAGTCCGGGTCACTTCAAGATCACTTTTTCGAGTAGCCATGCCCCACATCACTTTTCATATCACTTTTCCCCGGTGCACGAAACATCCCACTCACTTTTCAAATCACTGTAAAACTTCACTGAAATAATTCTTCCAAACCATCCCAACGGTTGCCAAAACAAAACGGCCTTCCATCCTTGTGACTGTGCATCTTCTTGATGCTGCATGGCATGTGTGACCGCCGCAATCCCGCGATTAGGAGGAGCAAACCTCCGGGTCACCCCAGCGGGCGCATTAGCGCATTGCCCCGCTGTCATACGGCCCAGCCCGGCCGCGTTGGCCCCAAGGTTTCCTCGCAGGCGACTATCAACCACGAAAGTGAGCCCCAGCACCCGGCCAACGGCGCTGACAGGTTCCCGGGCTGGGGATGCCTGTTTGGTAAGGCGGAAGGCGAAGGTACACAACCCAGCCGGGCACAATCAGCCAAACTTGCAAAATGCCTGCGCAACTTTGACGGCATGCACAGCAAGCAAGCAAGCAGGTAAGCAAGCAAATGCTGGGTAATTTCCATTCACGCCCCAACACTGACCAAACAAGCATGCTGCCAGCACAATTCTGACAGCATTCAGAGCAAGCAGCATTGAATCGCATGACTGGATGGAACTTCTCATCCGAACATCTCCGCCGGGATCCACTAGACTTGAACAGGCAAGTCCGGCTTTCCGGATGTTTGCAAACTTTTGCGGCAGCTCCTTTGGACACGGCGCGTGCCTACGGCTACTAGTATGACCGCTTTCGCGAGGCAGACAGGCAGCAGGAATCGTTAACTCGTTTTATGCGGAGGACCATGCTCAGCTTCGACGGCTGGCAGTTGTCACAAGGGCTTCTGATATCAGAAGTGTCTCGGTCACAAGCAGAACTCACTAGACTGCCAACCTAGCGATGCGAACGCATCCGCTTTGCAACTCGCCGAGCAGTCTTTCCAACATGCTACTGAGTCTACTATGCAGAAAGTGCAGACTCAGAACAGCAACGACCACGGAAAGCCATGAGTCGGCATCGAGGTCTGGAGGCAGAGTTATCCGGTGGTGGCTGGGCCATGAAGCGTCAAAGGGCATGTCCGGATACAGCCGCTCGCATTCACAACACAACTCGAAAATCTGAACTCGATGCAATGGGTACTGCATAGGCACGCAAGCCAGGCCGTTTACTGCGCATGCTCGGTGCTGCCAAAGCTCAAAGCAGTCGATGCAAACAGCTGATACAAAACAGTCTATCAAAGACATGGTCATCCGCTCAAATGCGTCTTTCCGTCCTGCAGCTAGATTCCCCACGCCTCTGCGTCTTCCTTCGAGATTCTCTTCCGCTTGTCTGCGCCACCTCTATCCGGACAACAACTCAGCAGGCTTGGTGTGTAAGTCCAGTGCTTCTTGGTACATTTTTACACGCTGCACCCCTCTGCAGCTGGCTGCTCGCGACAGTATCTCTTTCTAAGGCAGCGAAACGAAGCCAGCTCTGAGCCAACCTGGTTACAGCTTGGAAGAAGTGGCATTGGTTTCCAAATTATGTTAGCCCGGCCACCAGCGGCATCTTTGGCAGGACCTGCCAGGCTAGCATGACAGATTCTGCGAATGATGGAAAACCGCAACAACGATGCCCCTGCGACTGCTGCTATGACGAAAACTCAGCGACAACAATAACAACAATAACAACAACAAACAACAAACAACAAACAACAAACACCAACCACAAACAACCAACAACAAACAACAAACAACAAACAACAAACAACAACATACAACAACATACAACAACAAACAACAACAAACAACAACAAACAACAACAAACAACAACAAACAACAACAACAACAACAACAACAACAACAACAACAACACAACCAACAACAACACCAACTCCGACACCGAGACCGACAACGACACCGACGGTAACAACGCCAACACCAACACTACAATGATACAAAACCCAACGACAACAACCACAACAACAACAACAACGACAACAACAACAATAGCAACAACACGAACAGCATCATCAACAAAAGCAACCACAACAACACCAACAACCCCAACACCAACACCAACACCAACACCAACACCAACAACAACAACAACACCAACACCAACACCAACACCAACACCAACACCACCATCAACAACAACAACAACAACGACAACCACAACACCAACAACAACAACAACACCAACACCAACACAAACACCAACACCACCATCAACAACAACAACAACAACGACAACAACAACCACAGCAACAGCAACAGCAACAGCAACAACAACGACAACAACACCAACACCAACACAAACACCAACATCAACAAAAACACCAACACCAACACCACCACCACCACCACCACCACCA